GTATTCCAAAAATATTTATTTAAATCTAGTCATTCAAAAAGGCTACTCATAGAAAATAATAAATTCTATATCTACGTTATAAATACCTACATATTTTTTATCTATGGCTTTACTAAAATTCATTACATAGTATAAGGACCAATAAATGTAAACAAATTTAAAAGCTCCTCAATAGAATAAAAAAATAAAAAAAATCTTCATCTAACTTTACGATAGAAGGATACATATTTTTGGTGTAATTAGCTACAAATGATCATAAATACGACATTAAAGCGATAAACTTCAAGTTTATAATATTACATAACGTAAGTATGCCAATGAACTAGCGGCGTGCACGTTGTGTAATCACAAGCTATTACTTATACATAACCGCAGTATATTGAGAATTAAAAGATAATATTTATTTATTTTACTCTTTATTGGACCATAAGAATGATAATAATATAAGATTCTCATACAAATTGCTTAAATTAATAAAATCTAGACAGTTTACTATACACTCTTAGATGGAAAAAAATGGTGTGTAACAGGTGCTCATAGTTTTTTTAGCCAGCAATATATCATATCCCATATTACGGCTCACCTGTTGTAAAGAGGTAACCGTCGCCTATAGACATGAGCGGTACCATGGACAAAAAACCTCCTTTTTGAAGTCGGTTGAAAAGCAGAAAAATATAAATCTCCATATTTTCAAATCCATTTAATAAAAAATAAAAAATATCGGAAATCTTTAGATATACTAGAAGCAATTCAAATAGAAAGTAACTGATCTAAGTTCATTGATATGACCTTGGGTCGGTTCACGGTGCATACTGCACTTAGGGTTGTCAAGATCCGCTAATATGATAACTTTAGAGATATTTTAAAATTAAATTATTTTCTTTAGCTGTAATTTAGGTACTTTATATTTTTATGTATATTCACTAGATATTTTATTTTATAATCATAATCTTAGATCATTATTGTAATCTTTAAAGATTATATGACATCACTCTATATGTATTTGAATTACATGTAATACATATACAATGAATAACAGATAATTATAAAGTGAATGACAAAATTAACTGAGTACTTCAGTACTCAGTTAATTCTTTCAGTACTGCAGTACTAAAATTTATTGTCTTATTATTTATTTTACACCTATCTTATTTGAATATAATTAAAGAACATTAATGCTCCCGTTCAATTTGGATTTGTTGTAACAGAACTCTTAGAGGTAAGCTCGCCTTTGTATATTTGCTTACCTTTGTCATATTTTTTATGTATCATTAGTGTGCACAATTAATTATAAATAAATAATCTATAACTTGTAATATTAAATATTTCTGTTGTGAAGAGAAAATAGCGTCTGAAATATGCAACAGAAATCGAAGTTAGTCTGTTCAAAAGCATGTTAAAATTAATTATATAAAAACATATAGATAACGATGAAAGAAAAAGAAGATTGACATAACATAGGTTGCCCTTCTTCTAGATGGACGCATGAAATTAAGAAGATAGCTAAAAAATTGATTGTGAAAAGCAAAAGATCCCATATAGTGGAAGGTCTATGTCCAACAGTGGATAGATACTGGCAACAATAATTATGATGATATAGATAAGCATAATAAATCTAATAATAAAATATAAGTATACACAAGAGTCTTGGCGTCAAGATAATATATACAAATAAATATAATTAAAATTATATTTAAAATATTTAGTTTTATATCGGTAGCAACCCTACAGTAATAGGTGCAAGGTACGATTTGGAGAAAGTACTGGCACCTTGACACCTTTAGCTTTGGAATCCTCCGGGACATTTCTTTTTTGTTTGTACCTCAATTTTTTAAAGTTATTTGAACTTTTCGTGTCTTTAAAATAAAAATGTCATAACTCCTATGAAATTTAGCAGTAGTTATTTTTAAAAGAATTTGTTCTCTCTTCTGAAATTATTAGAGTTTATTCCTTTCTTGTTATCACATTAATTATATCACGAGGAAGCTGCTTTTCAACCGACTTAAAAAACGCAAATTCTCAATTTAATAGTATTTTTGTATTTGTTAACTCACTAACTTAATTTTAAACCGATTTGGACAACAAAAATGTTATCAAAATCGCTTTAATAGTTTAGTTTTTAGATCAAAATATCTGGTTTTGTCACTATTGATGTTTTTTTTTTCTTTATAGGACACAATCTTTAATTATTTCAGCTTAGTTAAATCAATATACGTAGTATATACGTATAATATACATACATACTTATAAATCAAAAACAAAATCTTATATCGATGAAATAGCTGTTTATTTTTTAAATAATACGATTTTAAATTATATAATTATAAGTCTATATTTCCAGTTGCATTAAAAGTCCTAGTAAATATCATGATAAATCCATCTGCCAGAGTTTATCTACAAAGATGAAGTTTTTTGCTTTTTCAGATTTCAAAATATTTTAATCAATTGATTAAAAGTTTGATAAGTAGTGATTGATCTTGATTGATTTATAAATAATCTTTATTAATAGACTATAAATCTAAAAGTGATTTTGTTTGTTTATCACATGTTGGTGCCTTCACGGCTCAACTAATCGTCATGAGATTTGATATCGGCATATTATATGGTATGGAGTAGGGAGCCTCCTTCTCCAAATAAATATAATTAAAATTATATTTAAAAATATTTAGTTTTATATCTGTAGCAATAGCTTATGTCTATATCAAATTTATATAGCTACATACATTACTATTAATCACTATCAATTGACATATATATATATATATATATATATATATATATATATATATATATATATATATATATATATATATATATATATATATATAAACTATAACTGAACCGATTTTAATATAAAAATACGGAGTTATGAGGTAAGAAACATAACAAAATGTAACTGAGAACCTTCTTCCTTGTAGTCGCTTGAAACTTCGGCCGTGCTTTATTTATAAAACAACATTTTTTTATACAACTTAAAATGTTAAACAAGCTGACGGCCCACCTGATGAAAAGTGGTTACCGTCGCCTATAGACATGCGCAGTACCATGGACATAACAGAACACATCGTTTCGCCCATGATACCCGCCACGCGTTGCCACTCCTAAGGACTCAGGTGTTATTCCTCTGTATCTTGTAAATTCACTGCCATATCTCACCCTTTAAAACAACACAGCCATGCAAACAACTGCTTCACGGAAGAAACACGAATGGAACAGAGATACCCAAGCAAACGACTTTTGTACAAAGTCTCCCTCTGGTGAATAATCTTTTACCATTTGACACAGAATGTACAAAGATTTGTCCTTTGCCAAGTGTCACGAGGCAATTGCAAAACAAAACATTTTGCGGCGAGTTTCACTGCCATAAACTTAAAAAAGTAGGTGCGATGACTAACATAATGACAAAATATGTTTAACTTCCACATCGTATTACTATAATCCTGTCAGCTGTTAATTGTCCACTACTGAACATAGGCTTTCCCTTATTGAAGCGTTTTGCCAATAGTTGCCACGCTTGACAGGCGATTTGGCAACCGCAGTTAGGTTTTGGTGACGTTTTAAGAGGGACGCTGTTGCCCATCCCCGACTATTAAGTTCCCTTACCTCTTATGACATCCCCGGGAATGGAAGAAATGGCTTAATCTTTGCCTAGACTTCACGACAATCAACGTCTACATAAAATTACAGAAAAGAAAATGTTAATTGTGCGTTTGGCGTAAATTTACTGGGTACAGAGGAATAACATCTGAGTCCACGGGAATGGCAACGCATGGGGGGTATCATGGGCGAAACAGTATACTTTGTTATGTCCATGGTATTGCTCATGTCTATAGGTGACGGTTACCACTTTCCATCAGGTGGGCCGTCAGCTTGTTTTCAATTTTAAGTTTTTTTTTTTTATACAACTTAGAATAAGTTGTATAAAAAAAAGTATTAACTCTCAGATTAACTCCTCTTTATTTCTTATGAGCTACAGTTTTTTTTTAAACGTTTTAATTATACGAATGATATTCTACTATAATGGCAATAATTCCATAATTTTATAATAAGAAAGAGAATTTGTATGTTTGTTGTTACTTTTTAATGTCTAAATAATGTAACCGATTATCATGAAATTTGGTATATGTACCTACTATTTATATCGGTCAATAAGTATATCCCACTTACGTAAACAATGTCCCAAATAAACACTAGTATTTTATGAATATTATAATAAAAGTTATTTTTGTATGTATTGCGTGGAACATAACTTCAGCAATTGTCAACACAACTCTTTGTTGTAGAATGCCTATAGATAGAACTGCGCCCGCGCATCTAACCGTATGAATGAATATTTGAGTTCAATACTACAATCAAGTGATCTTGATACTTGAACGTAGATTGAATTGTTATTTAATTTCTTTATTTAACTCTATATGTTGACAGTAATAAAATTGTTTAAATTTCTAAATCCAATGCATATAAAAAAATGTTTCATTTTATATAATAACTTGTCTTATATAAAAAAAAACCTCTAATTGTTCCCCATGGCTTTACCTGCAAGAGTATATATCATTTATATGTAAGTTATAACCAATTCGTGTACTAAATATCATTCAAATACGTTTATCGGTTTAAGGGTGTTTAAACAATAAATATTTAAAAATTCAAACTATTTTACAAACTTTCAATATTAGTCGGATTTTTCTTATCTAAAAAAGCCCTTGTTAATAGTAATTATAAATATTACATAAAAATTAATTGTCAAAGACTTCATAACCAAATCGAATGATATCAATCGTTACATATTAATTTTCATAAAAATTACTTAATAATTATTATTGAAAAATATAGACATCAATTTGATATACGAATGTTATTCAAATATCAAAACCTTTTGCATTTCACACTTCACGGAACCGAGTCCGTAGAACCTTTGCTTGAGTTACAAAACACTCATCTTTCCTCGCCCAATATAAAAGCATACAAGTCCCTACCGCTTCTCACTTGATCCTCGACAACCGAACCAGAAGGAACTCTTCGAATTCCACTTTTAAAAGTTATCTTTTTATATTATCATATTTAAATTTTCAAATTTAGAAAATTTTATATCGAAATGAGAGTGTTGTGTGTAGTTTTGGTAGTCGCCGTTGTGGCCTGCAGAGCAGCTCCAGGTACAACAAGCGAAGATGATGGAAGGATAGAGTTATTCTCTGGGGTTGCTATAGAAAGGTGAGTTTATTTGATGTTATATAATATCTAGACCTGACAATATTAGAATAATCTTTTAACAAATAAAAAAAAATTATCAATTTACGATTTCTTCTTACACCAGTCTTTAAGGGAAGCCTATGTCCAACAGTGGACAATTAATAGCTGAAATAAATTTACGATTTTATGTACTTTTTAATAAATTAACGATGATATATATATATTTTGTGGGCCATAGTAGAAAATAATTATTTACTTGGAGTAATCCGAGTCACACTGCAAGTGTTAAAATTTGTGATTGGTTTATTGTTTTGATTATCAATTATTTTATATCTAATGATAATTATGAAAAGACTTTTCAATAAAAAAAAAGTACAGTCTATTTATTATAAGTGATAAATGTTTGTTATCATTTAAGAGTCTTAACGTATGATGATGTGTGTGTGATGGTAGAATATGAATACAATTTATAGCCAGTTGTCACTCCTTCATTTGAACGTCATAAGTGTTAGCTAAGAGAACAAAGCATTTATTTAATGAATGGTACTGTGCTTTTTTTATAAGCTGAAAGAGCAAACAAGTGACGTAATGATAGATGGAAAGTGGTAACCGTCACCTAGAGACATTGACACATCGTACCTAATTCACATAACAGAGTATACTGTGATAATCTCCAATGCGTTGCCATTCTTGAGGACTCAGATTTTTTTTGTATCCTGTAAATTCACGCCATATCGCACCCTTCAAACCGAAACACAGCCATACAAACACAACTGCTTCACGGTTTAAACACGAATATGCTATCTGTATAAGCTGAAGGAGCACCAGTGATTAAAGATAGATGAGCATGAAGTTAGGTCAGTTGACACGTCGTGGCCAGTTGACTAGGAATTAACTGTGATAATCCCTAAGAGGGACCACATGGAGTTCGATCTGATAGAGTATTTTTCTTGTAATGGCGTTACTGATCCCCATTACTGATAATTCCATCCCCTCCAGGAAAAAGGTTATACCCTGATATTACTAAGAAAATTATCCGAAATTATCAGACAAATGTTATATTAGTAGGTCATATATTCTTCTTATTGGAACAAATTTATGTCCAAAAGTGGGACGTTAATAAGCTAATATAATATAATAATGGCATGATGAAGGGAACAAGTCAATAAACAGTCTATGGGACGAAATAGATTGTTAGTAATGTGGATTTAAAAGCTCCATTGCTAGCGATATGCCTTATCAGCTTATACTAGACATAGAATGGACCACCCCTTCTTTTCCCGTGGATATCATAAGAGGTGACTAAAATGGTCAAGGGATAGGCAGCAGCGTCCCTCTTAAAACACCATCAAAGCATAATTTCAGTTGCCAATCCGTCTGCCAAGCGTAGCAACTATTGACAAACCCCTCCAATAGAGGAAGGCCTGTGTTCTGCAATGGACAGTTAAAGGATGCTAGTCACGATGGGCCAACTGACCCACATTCATCCTCGCCTATCATCCTTCACTAGTACTCTAGTAGCATATAGTAATAATGCAAGCAGGATTACTATTCCATTATCACTCATCAAAACAGTCTTTATAGTCCAAATTCTCATGTAATGGAACTTATTGTTACACACACAAGCGCTGTAGCGCTGTTTTCCAAATAACTAATAGCACCATTTGGAAAATAAACTGTACAGCTATTATTTATATATCGTGCAGTCTTTTAATGGCCATATAATGTTTAGGTAACAGCTTTATAAGTAGGATGCCTGTTTACATATTTCAAATCACTAAAGCAAGTGAGCGAAACAAATATGCTACACGTCACCTCGACAAGGTGAATTAGTGGAAAATGTGATTCTATTGTTTGTATTTCACTTTCAAAATTGAGAAAGCGTTGTTTACTTGTTTTTGTAGCTTCAGTTGTAGCCCTTTGTCCTTTGAGAAACTGCAATAAGTACATAACTATTGTGGACAATAAGATTTCTCTAAAGTTCTGATTCTTATTTCCAATACATCCTCTTTAAAGGGATTGTTAGAAGTTAAGTCAGACATCTACAAGATATTGTGTGTAATTTTTTTATTAGGTAATGGAATGGCAATCCACGCGCTGGTTCCCCGACGGGGCACCATTGTGAATAATTCTTATTGAATTCATCACGAAGGGCTAACTGACCTGCTTCATCCTCACCTATCATCCTTCACTGGTGCCCCGCCGGTGTATACCGTTAGCGCGGGCGGGGTTACCATTATCACCCATTAAAAATAATACATCCTTTTTATGTACTAGAAGTTAAGATCATCCATCTATAATTTAATTAGTGTGTATTATGCATTTGGTATTGTAAGCCTTCAAAGGTTTTATTATGTATCATCAAGCCGACTACATGCTTGATTATTACGTTCGTTGTATAGATGTACTTTTGAATTATTTAAGCATATATTTAGGATGCAATAGTCGAGGGATGGGCGACAACATCCCTCTTAAAACATCATGAAAGCCTAACTGCGGTCACCAACCCACCTCTTAATCCCCTCTTATTGGGGAGACCTATGTCCAGCAGTGGACAGATAACGGCTGATATAATGATAAAAATTGGATGTAATCAAAATCTATATTATCTTATTAAACAAATATTTTACTAGTAGTACTGAACATGACATGAGTCAAAAAACGACAAAGAGAGCTTCCCATATTTTTCATACATTCTTAATAGTTGGATGAGCCGTTTTAATGATGAGGCTCAAAGTTTTTGTTTTTTTTTTTCGAAATGTTTACTTTCATTGAGACAACAAATATTAATTTCGATTTCAAGCCGTATAAATCGAATTAAAGTTTTCTTTTTTTTTTTTTATCATGAGTACAATTTATGAGAAGTCAAACTAGTCATTTTAACAAACAGCCACTTTGGTTATTTTCCGCAATTTGACGCACTAGTTAATTCCACATATTGAAGTTTTTTTACGCAGTGTAAGTACGGTTCACAATAAATATTGTTACACAACAAGGTGATATTATCGAGTACTTTTCCTTTAGGATATTTTTCCATTTATTGAGTCATCATCATTTCAATAATTTCATGTTTGTCTTAGAAAATACGTATTCTTAATGGACTTATACAAAAAACGGCTCTGACACCACATAATAATGGTCGAATTTGAATAAAGAATAATAAATATTAAGAATATTTCTTCTCCATCGGTTATCAGTTTTTGAAAATACGAGAACATATGAACTTATCTTCTCCATTGGTTATATTAAATTATTCATATTCACCACGTTTCTTACTAGGTGGACAGAGTCAAAGTCCTTTATCTTTACATACATCTCTTGCTTCGCTACATATGCCAGTTTCCGTCTTTCTAGATTCAGTTACTATAATCTAGTTTGGAATTGAACATACGATTTTAATATTTAAAAAATCAGAAAATAATTTGTTGACAGGCGTCTTAAATAATTTGATCAGCCATTTTGAAATTGAGTATACACGTAACATTTTGAATAGAGAAAGACAGACTATTTTTTTATATTAGTCTATCAATAATATTATATTATCCTTGCTGTGTACTCCCACCATAGAATGAGCCACTTCTTCCTTTACGTGGGTGTCGTAAGAGTCTACTAAGGGAACTTAATGGTCAAGGAATGGATAGCAATGTCCCTCTTAAAACATCTTCAAAGCCGAACTGTGCTTGGCAACTCGACTGCCCAACATGACACCTACTGACAAAAACTCTTCTTATACGGAAGGCCTATGTTCAGCTGTGGATAGTTAACAGCTGACATAAATGAATGAATATAAATTAATATCCTTAAATGAGCTAATTAAAATGACAATACGCAAGCCACAAAGCGGCTTGTATCAACTTGTAATTTCTAAAACAGTTACTTAATAACTTAATGCTACTTACTAGTCTTACATATAAGGCTAGTCTTACATATAAGACTATTCACATTAAAAGCTATTAATTACTTTCACTGGATATTATAATTAAACAAAAGAATTTCTACGTAAAACTAACACAAAGGATACGATATAATTTTATTAACGTCAACTTATGCTTATTAATGACTTGTCGTAATGATTACAACCGATTAGCTGGGATCAAATTTCTCCCCAGACTTTCACATAAGATGAGGATATTATTCCATCAATACTACCCTGGCCAGACGGCTTGATATAGTATTTCATTTTGAATCCTCCTTAGCTTGCACTAGTGTACTGTGCTTTGATTACTTAGATATTTTTTTATAATATTTTAAAAATAAATAATATTAGAAACACATTATATTCATACTTCCTTGACACATGAAGTTCGCTCTAAAAATAGGATTTAAGTTACCAAAAATGAAAACACCAGCAAATTAAAGTACAAAAATGAAGTATCAAAGGTCTGTGTATTTAATTTTAAGAATCGAAAATCAATAAGGAATAAATCTCAGTTCTTAATCATCATAATTTTTGAGCGGCAAGATACATAATACGTATAAAAGTAGAAAATTCAGATAAATTAGTAAAAGTAAGCTCGCATTAGTGAAGTGTTTATATCTCGAATATATGTTAAATACTTGTGTGCTTTTGTTCTCAGAGATCCGTCCGGTGAAGATAAATTAAATGTCAAATTTGAACCTGGAGAACTGAGGGAGGCAGCTAGAACTTTTGAAGAAGGTGAGTTACTCACTATTCTTATGAAAAATAATAATGATTTTTTTAATACAGAATATTCTTTATAGAATAAAATGAAATAAAAAAAAATTGCATATTAAATAGAATAAAAATATAGACATAAAATGACAAAAACATTATTTATAATGCGTTCCTCAATCAACCGACTTAAAAAAATAATGATGTTCTTAGTTCGCTTGTATTTGTTTATGTTTGTTACCTTATGACTCTGTCGGTTATAAACTGATTTAGAAAAATCTCGTTTTATCTGAAAGTATACACTTACAGATTAGTCCCATAGAAATTTTATCAAAATCGGTTTAGTAGTTTACTTTTTAACTCAAAATAACTAGATTTGCAACAGTTGAAGTTTTTTTTTGTAGAACACAGTTTTTTTTATATCAAAAAACTGAAGGCTTTATTTTACAAAAACGCCCACTTCAATTATGACCAAACCAATTCTTTGGATTTAAAACTAAACTAATAAACCGATTTTGATAAAATTTCTACGAAATCAGTCTCAAATTATATCTTTTGAGATAAAAAAATACTTTTCCTAATTGTTATACAAATGTAGGAGTAATGAGTTAATAATTACAAAAATACAAACGAATCGAGAACCCCTCATTTTGTGAAGTCCATAACAAAAACCTTGTCCAAAAACAAAGTCCATAACAAAAATTATGATTTGAATGTAAAATGATTCAGAGTTCTAAATTCAAATATTTTCTATCATTAGATTGTTATATTAATAACAACAAAATGTTTTGTTATTTTTTGTTGTTTACGATTGAAACTTTTTCATGTTAAACTATTTTCAAAATCAAATTCAATCTTTTTAAAATTTACAGTTAAAAAATTAATAGCTTACTTTTAAGTGTCCCACAATTGGACAAAGGGGAGGCCTCCATCTCCCCAGATATTTCTAAACATCTCGCTAGATATTTTATTTTATTGTATTTCTAAGGAACATATAAAGAATATATTAAAAAACAAGAGGTAAGAAATATGTTGAATTCTGAGTCATAGCTGCAAAACAGCTGTGCATAATAAAATGAAAGGCGGGTCAACGACCCATTACGTGGGAGAACGTAACCGCTCGGTCAAGGCCGCCGCGGTCACTCACAGAATGCGAACGAGATATTCTCATAGCGGGTTACTAGGTACCATTCTAAAATGTCACTATAACATACCTCTATATTTTTTTTTTATTTAAAAATAGAATAGATTTTTCTTACTACTTCCAAAACAAAAAAATACATTCTACTTACTAATAAATGCAAAAATGTTTTTTTTTTCGGCAGTTCTTGCCGCCTTCATTTAAACGTTCCAACCAATCGTCATGATTTTTTTTTTTTATAAATTATAGCTATAAGTTATTTCTATTTTTTTTTTATGTAACAGAATAGAGTATAAACCGACTGTTTATCCGATAGATATTGGTAACCGCCATCTATAGACATGTACAGTCCAGTACAATGTCTATGGTGGGTATCACACTCTACCCATAGCACCATAGCATTATCATTTCTATGGACTCCATATCTTGTGATTTTCCTACCATTTCTACTCTTTAAATCGAAGCATAACAATGCTTTATAGCTGCTTCATGACAAAAAATGAAACAGAGGTATCCCTGCATATAAATAAAGTACGAAGTCTATTTAGTGATAGAGATTATCATCATCATATAGGCCATTAACTGTCCACTGTTGAACATGAAGAGGGGGGGGGAGGTCGGCAGTAGTTGCCACGTTTAGCAGGCGGGTTAACAACCGCAGTTAGTTTTTGGTGGTGTTAGCAGCAGCTGCTGCCCATCCCTCGACTATTAAGTTCCATTAGTCGCCTCTTACGACACCCACGGGAAAGGAAGGGGTGATCCATTCTATACCGAAACCACATAGCAATAGTGATAGAGAATACTTGCCACAAAATAATTACAATATTACCTGTGGATATTAAAGAAACTAAGGTCATTGATATTGGAACAATATTATGAAACTATTGAATGTCAATTCGGATAAGTTCAATGACCGATTACGTGAGAATGCACAGCGTAACACTCGATCGATCAATCATAAATATTATTGGTTGCACGTTTCATGTCATTGCCACAGCCCAATAGTTTTCCTAATAACTTCCCCATATTTTACAAGTTGTTCTGGCAATAGTAAATTAATCGTGAATTCGCAAGCGTTGGGACAACCTACGGCTGCTTGCATCGACAACGTATGTAATATGGCCGGTTAATAATGGAATCGAAGAACCGATTATTGTGCCCAATTATGTGCCTTGAAAGAGGCCCATGTCCAGGAGTGAACTGTGGTAGAGATGATTATAATGATGATAATTTAATGATGATGATATGATAAAAAAAGTATTAAGAATGAATGTAGATGGCTATAAGAGCAGAGGAAGACCTAAAAAGACATGGATGGATTGTGTGAAAGACGATATGGCCAGAATGGGAGTGAATGCGGAAATGACTGGGAATAGAAAAGAATGGAAGAGGAAAACATTACGCCGATCCCAAATAATAATTGGGATAAGGGTAGAAAGATGATGATGATGATTGTTAGCTAGGAGTACTTAATTTTATTTTTTTTTCAAATTCGTTCAGCCAAATGAAGCAGTACATAAGATGATTTGAATTTTATAGTAGGGATTTCATATATTCACTCGTTAATGATAAAAAAAAAAAAAATAAAAAAATATTTATTTTCAACAACCAAATTTTAGCACTGTTACTATGATACTTGTTATCATAATTATACTACACCATAAAAAAAAACTGAAAAAATGTATGACTGTTACGACTTTTTTATTAAAAAGAATAATTTAAAAAAAATCTTTTTCAGCTCGCGGTAAAATCAAAAAGTACACGCCTCTACTGGCTGGTATTGGTGTTAAAGTAATCGCGGTGCTCGGCATCTTGTTTGGAGGTCTCACGCTGCTGGTCACCAAGGCTTTGGTGATGGCGAAGCTGGCATTCGTGGCTGCTGCAGCATTGGGCATTCAGAAACTGCTCAGCGGTGGTGGACTGAACAACATTAGTGGAAAGGTAACGTTGGAAAATCATATTAATGATTTTGTATAGGTGTCGCAATCCAGAGAGACCTTTTAACCCCTATTTTTTTGAGTTTTTTTTTAATGGGTAAAGATGGAATTATTACACCACCTGCACTATACCGATAGCGCAGGTGGTGTAACAATTCCATCTTAATTTAATTTATTTATTGGAATCTGGAGGCTATCATGGAATTATCCATGATAGTCTCCAGGGGGAACTGCGTGGAGGTCGACCTGGCTGGGTATATTGCTAGGAATGGGATTCTTAGTTTCCATTACTAACAATCCCTTTCGCCCCACAGGAATATATTAGTTTTTCATCATATTTTTTTATATCAGCCATTAACTATTCACTGCTGAACAGACCTTCCCCATAAAGAGAGTTTTGCCAGTAGTTGCCACGCTTGGTAAGTGGATTAACAACCGCAATCAGGCCTTTGGTGGTGTTTTAAGAGAGACGCTGCTGTCCATCCTTCAATTCCGAGATTTTCCCAAGAAACTACAGCATGGGATTCTTCAAAGGGGGGGGGGGGGGGGGGTAAAGAGGTTTCTTCAAGGTCGGCAACGCACGCGTAATACCTCTGGTATTGCAGGTGTTCATAGGCTACAGTAACCACTTACCATCAGGTGGGCCATGGCTTGTTTGCCACCTCAGTGGTATAAAAAAAAATTGGATAAGAATTTTAATATTATTAAATGGTTAAAATTTCAATCACAGATTGCTGGTTTCCAATCATCACCGCAACAATGGTCATCACCTACAGCATCAGCTGGGTCTTACCCCTACGCGAGATCTTCGAGCATAGCACAGGATGCAAACGACTTAGCCTACAAAGCTCAGATAGCTTCATAAATATTTTTACTAAGTTTTAGTTACAACATCACTACTACAGTATTTTTGGTACACATGCCATAAAATGAAAACGTTATATTTTTGTAATTATATAATATTTTGTATTAATAATTTATATCTCTCATTATTAAATTTACAGGGTACAGAGGAATAACACCTTAGTCCTCGGGAATAGCAAAGCATGGGGAGTATCATGGGCGAAACAGTATACTCTGTTATGTCCATCGTACTGCTTATGTCTATAGGCGACGGTTGCCACTGTTGACATGAGCAGTACCATGGACATAACAGTGTTATGTCCATGGTACTGCTCATGTCTATAGGCGACGGTTACCTTCCATCAGGGCCGTCAGCTTGTTTGCCATTTTAATTTGCATAAAAAATATTTTAAATTTAAAAAATATTCAGAGATATATTAAGAGAATTTATTATTTTAACGTTAAAAAAAACTATATTATATTTTCTATACTGTTTAATTCATGTGTGGACGTGACAATATATTTCCAATGATCTTTATAAAAATTAAGTTTGATAGATATATCTTAATTTATAAAATAATTATAGATTTAAACGAATGTTTTAAGCTTTAATAAAATTAAATATTTTATTTGAATAAAAGCTGAACTTAATGGTGCATAGTTTGTTGTAAAGTACAAATTTTACATAATTGTTAATTAATTTATTTCATTTAATTTTTTTTTTATTATTATATAATATTTAAAAGAAAATAAACTGTACAAATATACACGTTTGGGATAGCACAGGGTACAAATATATTATAAATAATATTAATTATTATTATATTAATAATTATTATACCCATTGAACTTTACGGGTTTTATTGTGTCATTTAGATTTATATTAAATTATTTAGTTATAATAATAAATTATTGATTAAATTAAGTATTATCAAGACTGTATCATTAGTTGGTAAGCGAAATAAAGTTAAAAATGTAATATATAGTACGATAAACATGTGTTTTTTTTTTTTTTTATGACCAAAACGAAGCTCTGGGCAAAGTAATAACCCACTGCTAAAAATAAACATATTCTACATTAGCTTTTTGCCCACTATTTCGTAGGAATAGATTTTAAAAGTAGAAAACCCAATAAAATAGTCCATTTATAAACATCATTTCAATATAAAACATACATCAAACTTTAAGTTACACCTTCAGAGATATAACTGTGAAAACTGCATCAAATTTGTTATAGTACTTTTCACGTGATTCCAGAACAAACATACAGACATACAGACATTCAAAATGTCTAAAAGTGATTCTTTTAACTTCTATCAGTGCTATTAACATTTTTAACATCATTTTCCCTTAAATGTCTCCAATGTACTGACATTATCTAATTACAATTTTATTATATATCAGGAATATAACTATGAAAACTGCATCTAATTTGGTATAGTACTTTTCACGTGATTCCAGAACAAACATACAGACAGACAGACAGACAGATTCAAAATGTCTAAAAGTGATTCTTTTAACTTCTATCAGTTCTATTAACATTTCTAACATCATTTTTTCTTAAATATCTCCAATGTACTGACATTATCTAATTACAATTTTATTATATTACTAAGATAATAATCAAAATTCAATTAGGCAAAAAAATTATATGACATATTCGAATAATAATAGCCCAGCGCCATCTATTAACAAACTGAGTCCAGTATTATCATTGGTTAATATCCTATGTGAAAGTTTGTAAGTATGTTGTTGTATGGGTGAATCATACTCAAACGATTGAATGAAGGATGAAATGAGTAAGGATGAAAACAGGCCAGTTAGCCCATCATGATGAATTCATCAGGAATTAACCATGATAGTTTCAGAGGGAACCACGAGGAGGTCGACCTAGTTGGATATATTGCTAGCAATGGAATTATCAGTGTCCATCACTAACAATACCTCCCCCCCACCCGCTTGGAGGGTTTTATGTTACTGTAACCTTGAGTTGTATTAATTTTAGATATTACAAAATATATTTCGACGGACATAGTTACCATTTCTAAGGATTAAAATATTAAGCCTTCCTGGCTAATAACTGCATTGTCACACTCTCTTAAAACTAAAACAGTGTCATAGGACAAGCATTCTGTATGATACTTCTGAGTAGTTATAAAATAGAACCCACCTACCGACTACTTTTTGGAAAAAGTGAGGTTATATTATTATGTGGTTTAATAATTGTGAACTAATTTTGATAGGAATTTATTTTATTTTTTATTCAGCTCCCTACACTTTTCTTATATATAATAAAATAAACAAAAAAAAAACAGTATTTGTTATATTGAACTCAAGTCTATAAACACAAACAATAAATAAAATACAGTAAATCAAATCATAATAATAGTTACTCAAAGTTTTAACATCTCTGTAGATACTACTAACGCCATCTATTGACAGTCTATGAAATAAGAAATACTTTTTCTATTTAAAAAAAAAGAAATATATATAATAAATAATATAATAAATAAAAGATATATAACAAGAAAGAAGAAGAGGCCACATCAAAGAAGACACCTATGTATGCCGGCTCAAGAACCCAGAAATACCCCTACCTCACCCGCCTACACTACTAAAGGTGGGCAAGAAGACCCAGATTGATTGATTGATTTTCTATTTTAGAACAGCAGAAAATTCTAAATTTAAATGGATTTTTACTAATATCACAGTATAAAGAACTACTTCCTTACACTGTGCTAACATTATTGATTCTTCATCTTTAAGTTCCAATTAATTAATCAATCAATGTAGTGAAATAGTAAATTCTTTTTCTTCAAAACATGGAAAGGTCTTGATCAATCAGGAAGTTGATCTATTAAATATTATCAAATTACACCCGTAGATCCCGCCACTTTTATCATAGGTATCATAAAAATGGTTCAGATTTGATTTTTAAATATAAAATTAATATTTAAACTTAAGGCTAAGTAAGGATGTATTAATCTATCAAATCTGTTGTTTTGAAGATCTTCCTTCTGTCTTCTGTTTCACTTTATATGAAGAATTTTTAACACAAATTTTCTTAGAATTTTTCAAATTTATTTTTCTTTGTCCTAACAGTTACAAACAAAACAAATAAAGGTTTAGGCAAATAGATGCATTCGTTCTAAAGTGATGCGCATTTAGCAATTGATTTTTAGTTATATAGATCTTAAACAATTGACTGAACCAGCATCAATCATAGTTGATTCAACTTTGAATAGATTTGATACTGAAATATTCTTTTAGTATTTCAAAGCTATATATATATATATATATATATATATATATATATATATATATATATATACTATAATTTCTGAAAGTGCTCTTATAAATAAATGTTTTGTTCGCAGATAAAAATAATCCGAATTTAACCTTTGTAATAAGAAAATAATAATTTCTATTTGGACCGTATTATAAGGCCTTAATTCTATTAAATTTATATTTGTATAATTTACTTTATTTAATTTACAAACAAACATTATATATGTAATATTAAAATAACATGAAGGAAAATAATTCATGTATTATATATTCATAAATAAATGATAAAAATAAAGATTTAGTAATTAATTGTAATTACTAAAAATATTTTATATTTATTTATTATCCGCTTGAAACATGAGATACAAGGTGTTACATATAAAAAGCATAAGTACATGTTTTATTATACATAAGCATATAAATTTTGGATCCTTAATAGTATTTTTATGAACATTATTATGTTAATTCAATGTGTTAGTGATAAAACTCGAGTTCTCTTTAACCTTCTTTTGTAATTTAAAAATGTTGAACAAGAAAAAGGTTATACATAGGTAAAGAAGTCATGGTGTGAAAATAGTCATTTATGAATCTGTTCAAGACTTAAAACTCATAAAAATCATGAACATCATAACGCCGCCAATTCTATTTAGAAACTAAGTGACACAAACGCACAAACCCACTTTTATACTAGTTTTCAATAGAATAGAATGCGTAAAAAAAACTACATACCATCCTCACTCGTACAAACAAGAAAGTGCGTGGGTATATTCGTATACGTACATGCCTTTCACTCACCCACACTGTAATAGAATATCGTAGAACAGCGAAAGATATGGAGAGTACAAAATTTATTGTGTCTTATTCTTTTACATCTATTATTAATAATGATAATAATTAAATAAACACAAAAATTAATAAATATATATTATTTAAACTGTATAAAGTAGATAAAAATATAAGGAATTATATTTTTTTAGTATGTCTCTTATGCTAATATTACAGTAATGTTTACGTATTCAAAGCTTGATTATTTAATTGATTTGTATCGCTATATACTATGCCGTTTATAAGCAATAAAATTTGAGATACAACTTTATATATTAATTTTTTTATTATTAATAAATCTTAATATTTTTTATTATTATTATTAACTTTCTAAATGCTAACAAAATAATATATAATATACGTTAAGAAACGTTCTGAATATATCCATTTAAAGAATTCCATTAAGATTATACATGACAAACAATTAAAAATCATTCTGTATCTCTACTAGTTAATCTAGTAAGTAATATAGTAATTTAAACTTTAATTATTATTATATATACTTATTATAATTCCTTTATTAAAATAATAAAATTAATGTGATAATTATTAAATATAAAATCTTAACAGCAACGTGAATAGATAAAAAAGAAATATCTGATACCGACTCCATGAATTTTCCTGTTACAATTACTAACGCGGCGAACTTTCACCACCACTACAACGACATCTTGTTACAGTGTGCGTGGCACTTTCACTCGCCAGCGTGTTTGTTGTATTTTTCTTTAGATTTCTTATATTCAAATGAGCTACGGCCGTCACGTTGTATGAATGTTTTATCGACTGTTACTGTATATAATTATGATTTGTTTCGTTAAAATATGAAACTGTTTTTAAAAAAAAAAATACTGTCATGCCAGTACGAACTTCTGTAGGAAATACAGACTGTATAATAATATAGCCTGTACCAAGGAGTAATAACTTAGAAATAGTTTTGAGTAATAAGTCAGGGATAACTAGACTATCCCTTTAAATTAATGATAGTGTAACTATCCCTGAGTTACTCATAAAGTATGACTATCTATAAAGGAAATATTTAAGAATTTTTGGAATCAGTATTATGATAGATTTCTCCGAATCTCCGAATCAAAAATCGATTAATTATTTGAATGTTTCG